AATTAATTAATAATATATTATTGAACATGGAAAATAAACCAGAAACTTAGGCATCATTCTAAATTATTACTTCTTCCTTACTCCTCCCCTAGAGCAAATTTCTGTAATTCTATCTGCTAAATTTCTCAAAAATCTATTCCTTTTTCTTTCCCATCTCCACTGCTACAATCTTAGCAGTTACACACACACACACACACACACACACTACCTTCTTTGTTTATGCGTCTCTCTGCCTGACATACCATTCCTGATCCTCTCTACCTGGCTCACGGTTAATTAACTCTCAGCTAGGCATCACTTCCTCCAGGCAGATCCTGGCTGGGTCAGATGCTTTGCCCGGACATCTGTGCCTATCAGAGACTATATCACACATACTGTTTTGTATTCCTGTTTTTTTTTTTTCTATCTACTCTGTTTCAACTGAAAATTCAATGAAGACAAGGATCAATTTCTCTCTCCAGCACCACCCCAGAGTCTGAAACAAAGTAGGTATACAATAAATGCTTACACCACATGTGGGCCAGAAACAAGTAGTGACTGATCTCTTATGATGAAGGTTTATATATTTGCTTGAATGTGTTTTATAGCAACTATATGTGATATGTAGAACAATACTGTATATTCCTTTTCTAAATATGCATATCTCTGTACATCTATAGCTAAGTACAAGTGTATGTGTGTAGACACACATATACTTTTTATATTTATTGAAGTATATCTACCAGGCAAGCAAGTTAACCTAACTACATGCAAGTTATCTATACTTGTGATAAAGCTTTTACTTTTAGGTCTAACAATCATAACCTGTGGACTGCTACCTAATGTCAGTTTACCTATAGTTCAGGTGAGACAATGGGGAGGAGAAAATGCCATCGCAAAGAGCACATGGAAAACCTGACTCTGAAGCAAGATTGCTATGTCATGAGGGTCAGATGGTCTTTCTTCTTCATTCTATTTCCAATGCCACTACTCTGGTCCATTGTCACCTCTTGCCTGGATTAATGCAGCCATCTCCATACTGATCTACATACTCATTCTGGTCCTCTTCCTACCTAGTTTCCACACATGACCAGAATGGTCTCTTATTTATTTATTTATTTATATTCATCAAGTATCATTAACATATACTGTTATATTAGTTTTAGGTGTATCACATAATGATTTAACAATTCTGTTTTTCAGTGCTCATCAAGATAAGTGTACTCTTAATACACTGTGTCTATTTCACTCATCCTCCTGCTCACCTCCCTTCTGGCAACCACCAGTTTGTTTATGTAAGAGTCTGTTTTTTGTTTATCTCTTCTTTTTTCTTTGTTTGTTTATTACATTCTGCATATGAGTGAAATAATACGGTATTGTCTTCTTTTTGAGAATGTGAATCACATTCAGGCCACTTCTTAACTTAGACCACATCATTGGCTTCCCATTTTTAGGGCAGCACCCAAATGCCTCAACATGAATTATAAAACTCTTTGAGCTGCCTTCCTTTCCAACCTCATCTCCCTTATACTTCCCTTCTTACAACGTTTTGTCATAGGATATGCACTATCTTATTTATGGCTTGCTTTTGGGCTCCATGAGGACAGAGAACATGTCTATTCTGGCCTTCACTGGCTCCCCAGCACACAGAACAGTGTATGGTATATGGCTGGTTGTTGAGAAATATTTGTTGAATTAATTGTGCTCTTCATAGGAGCCAAAGCAGAGGCAATCCAGGGGATAAGCCCAGAGTCAAGTCCCATCAACCACCAGGAAATCCATCCCCCTCCGTCTCACCGCATCAATTTCGTTCAGGGCCTTCCACTGCTCGTAGGGAACACCCAGGGCCTCAGCTGTCTGGATAGTCCTCTTCATGTGGCTCGTCCACACCTTCAGAGAGCTGATGCCCTGGGACTGAATGAAGTTAGCCAGGGCATAGGCGTACTGGGGGGTGGGGTTACAGAGGATGAGAAAAGGGAAGAAAGAGAGAGATGAAAGAAGACAAGAGTAGCTGTGAGATCTGCCATAAATGGTGAAATGATGATGAACAAGAAAGAGTAGAATTTAAATGTTTCCAATTTATAAACAAGGATATGACAAGGATCAAGGGAATAGAAAAGGTTATGTGTGTTTATGTGTGTGTGTGTGTGTTCATTGACACTTGCTTATTAAACCCCTTACTCAGTTATTCATTCAAATAGCCCATCTCTGGCATTTGTGAAGCCTGGAACAAGACTACAAATGGAGGCACTCTACCTGGTCAACCTTTCTCTTCTCATTTCTGCCTCCATCCTGCACTTGTAGGTGCCTTGAGTACATGTTTGTAGATAACTTAGTCACATGACCAAATTCTGTCCACACCCTATTTCCACAGATTCTCATGATCCACAAACAGTGACCCTTCAGCCACCCTTTTGCCTAGGGGTAAACACTAAAAACTAACCCAGGTGGACAGACTCTGGGATAGACCCACACAGGCATGGAAAGTAAGCCAGAAGGGTAGGGGATTCTGGGTTTTGGGTCCTCAAAGTGTGGTCTAGGAGTAGGGGGTGTGGGATTTGGGGGACATTTCTTTTTGACTCTGGGGATTCTCATTTGCTTGAGTTGGAGTCTTGGAACCCAGCTTCTAAGGGCATTCGAACATATACTGAGGGCGTGTGGTCATGTGCTGCATATCAGGGTGTCCTGTTCTCAAAACACAGCCAGTCCAGTAAGGGAAACAATGACAGCACTGAGAGGAAACATGAAAAGCTGTGGGAGCTAAATGAGCAAGTGATTTTTTCTTTCACATAGAGTCATGTTATTAGTCACAGGTGGTACGTGAGGAACATTGGCACAAATGCATAGATGTATTTATATGTACATGTGTATGTACAAATATAAGTATTGTGTATACACATTCTAATTATGGATTATGAGTCAATAGTCAGTGTGCTCTGGTGTAAGGAGCCCTTGATTGGGAAGCAAGCAACAGGGGTTAAACTTCCCAGCATCCTTATATGGTCCCTGTGTGACCTGGGACACATCCCCGTTTCTCTCTGGCCTTATAGCTTCTGCCTGTAAGATGTGAACAGCATTAGCTCACTGAATCTTGTCCTATGAGCATCACATTAGATAGTGGAAGAGGAGAACATGGAGTGCCCCCTGACATACAGTAGGTGACAGCCTCTGTGATTGATTATGGGTGAGAGTCGATGGGAAAGTGCTTTGTAAACTGCATGGTGCACTGTGCCCATAAGTATGAAGGTTGGGGCCAAGCATTTATGTGTGCATGCACAAGTTTGTGTGCGAGAGCGGTATGCATTGTGGAGATAGCCATGTGTCCAAACTGGGCATTGAGCTGTATAGGCAGGGCCATAGGTGGCCCCAACCAAGAGACCCCTGGCTGTAGGTGGTGCCATGGAGCAGGGATGATGCCACCAGTACCCTCTGCTCTGAGGAGTAAGATGGGTGGGAGTCAAAGGTCTGAGTCCACCTCAAGGGGAGCCTGCCAGTCTGAAGGTAACAGAAAGGGAGCCATGAGGACCAGGCCTTCCAGTGCAGTGCCTTGCCTAAGACACTACCACCTCTGCAGTGGGGGGATGCTGGGGGGCAGGGAGGAAAGCCTGGTTTTCAATCCTGGCTCTTTTCTTTGGATTTTTACATTTTATTTCTGGCTCTTTTTTACTGGCTGCATGACCTGGGGCTGTTCTTCTCTCCTCCCTGGGCCTCAGCTTCCTCAGGTTTCATAAACCGTTAATGGTAATGCCCACCCCACAGAGCTGTTGTGAAGACTGAATGAAGATTGAATTCCACACATGTGGAGGCAGACGGTGCTGTGACTGTGCACAGGTGCCCAATAAAAGAGAGTGCTTCCTCCCTCCTGCACCTCATTTCCCATTTGTTCTACCCAAGCCATCCTCCCAGCAAGAACAATACCTGTGTTAATAAGCCCAGGCACAGGGCCAAACACTAAGGAAAATGTGTGCCTTTATTTTATTTTATACCTGTAATGTGGAGGTTAGTATGCTTGGCTAGAGAGGAGATTCATGCCATAGTCAGAGATGGGCCAAAACTGGGAGAGATGGACCTGCCTGGGAGGGCAGGAGAGGACAGAGGAGGGCTTCCTGGACCAAACCATGGAGCAGCAGCTGGGCCCTGGAAGGGGGTGGGGGGAGAGGGCAGGAAAAGAGCAATAACTGGTGGGGGACAAGTGCTGACAGTGGGATGGCCTGAAGTGGGGGTGGGGAGCTGTGGCATCAACCCTGAGTAAGGGAGAAAATAGATTCAAGGATGGGGCACCTCAGGGCAGCTGTCAGGGCATGTGGTGGTCACCAGCTGACAAAGGAGAGCAGCCTAGGTGGGGGAAACTGCACAAGCAAAGGCACAGAGTTGTGAAAGAGAGGAGGGGAACCAGTCAGGCAGGGGTGAAGGGTGCTCACTGTAATGGGGCTGGAGGAGCAGCCAGATCTGGGCAGGCCTGAAATGTCAAGACCAAGCTAACAGACGTGCAGATGCTGTTAGCACATGGGAGTCACTCAAGGATGGATCAAGACTGAGTGGCTGATTGGGTGGAAGAGCGGGTATGACCAGAACCTGCTTTTACCCTCTCACTGAGTCCTCCCATCCTCAGAACCCATGCAGTGGCTGTACCACCCACCCACAGCCCACCTGGGCCAGCTCAGCCAATGCCTCAGGGTGCATGGGGCCCTTCCTACCTGCTTGCCCCGAGCTGAGAGACCAGAGTCACCTCCGATGCGGCCTCTGAGGTTGAGTTCACTCTCACCGTGCCGGCACAGATAGATGGAGCGGGGTGTGACGTGGATGTTCATGAGATAGTAGACTGTGCGGCTCTGGATGTGGTCCTGCACTCGGTTCACCATGTAGCGTGTGCCCACATCGAAGATCTTGATGTAGGATAGGTGGCTGGGCCAGCCCAAGCAGGAGCAAGGGCAGCTCAGGGGATGATGATGGAGAGGCTGATCCCAAGACAAATCCCCAACCACAAACCCCGCCTTCAAGCCTCTTGTACAATGCAGGTTTCACCTACCTTTCCTCTAACAAAATGTCATGCCTTGCCCTATTCTGGGTACCTGCTCTAGAGACGTGGCTCCTGGCCTCACCCAAAGAGCTCACTGCCTGCTACCATCTCCCCCTGTTTCCTTTCTTCAGTTTCAGCTTGATCCAGGCTATCTTTTCACATTCACTTTTTACACTCCAGGGATCTGGGTTCCGTCCTTTATAGTTCACACTCTTGAAATCCTCAGAGAAAAGCAGTAATCCTGTGTCCCTGGCTGCCTTCCACATCTTACTGGCAGCTCCTGAATTCTCTACTCAGTCTTTTAAATTTCAAGTTGAGCTCTGCACCTCTGTTCTTCAAGTCTCTGCTATGATATATTGTCTTCGACACCCTACAGGCAGCTACCAGATTGTGCGCACTTGTGTCTGTGTGTGTATATCTCTCTTCCCACTCAGAAAGGGAAAAGGGTTGGGATTTTTTTCCCTGTCATGCAGTCAATAAACAAACTCTCCTTTGTTCTAAGCATTGTGCTTGAAGTGGGGACTCAGCATCTGCCCTTTGGGAGCTCTTTGGTCAGTCAAGAACATACACTTGGAAACACATGACCAATGCGCAATACCCCTTCCATAAATAGTCATTCACTCTTAGTTGTGCCAAGTACTGGAATGTGGGGATACAGAGATGGTCCACAACATGGAAATCTTGTGGTCCTTGTTTCAAGTCCCCTTTTTATCCCCTCAATTCTGTGCTCTAGTCATGAACTAATAATCATGAGTGATAATCAAACTATTCAACAACCTGTCTGCAGAGGAGCTGGGAATGAGCAATACTGACTAATTGGAAGACTAGTACCATGGAGTAAGTTTTCTGAGGCCCCTGCTGTACCAGGCATGAGTCCTTTAGTTGTTGGACTATAGGGAGTTCAAGGAGATCCCTGCGAAGAGGTGGGGAAGGCTGCACCAATGGGGTAGCATACCAGGAACCCTGGATGCACAGTAGCAAAACAAAGTAAATAGAATTAGCTGCACTAACCCAAGGCATGTAAAGCAGTGGCTGATGGGTTTGGTTTCAGAAAGCCTCTCCTCTGATCTTCCTAGAGAAGGCCTTTTTATCTGTACCATACTTAATCATTCCCATCCCTGTCATCTATGTTCAGCGGTTCCTACAGGACACTTGCACTTGTTGAGCATTTTCTTTTGTGCATCTGGCAGGGAGTGGGGACTTAAAATACATGAATCCTTATAATCATCCTAGGAATCAGGGATTATTACCTGTGTCTTATAGGTGAGGAAACTGAAGCACAGAGAGAGGAAATGATTTGTTTAAGGTTAACCTCTCCAACTATCTTGTCTAGGACTCTCAGTACCTAGCAGTAGAAAATATCTGATGTAGCCTTGTTGCCTAATTACTGTCTGTTCCTGATGCTAGGTCCTGGGTAGCTCTAGGAGAACTTTCAAATTCCTCACCTTAGTCTGACATTCTGGCCCTGCTTGGCCTCACCTCACAGTCCCACACCCACACCCATGCCCATAATTTCTCTGTTTCAATCTAGCCTTCATGCTTTTGCTGGTATATTCTCTAAACTCCCCTACTTTTATTCAGATTTAACTACACTATTCCAAAATGCTCTTCTGTTTGCTTGAAAAGGCATTCCTTGCCTGCTTTCCAAAGCTGAGCTCCTATGCATCCATCCCTTAAGAGCCAGCACATTCACTCTCTCTAGGAAGTCTTCTTTGAGCCCGGGATCATGTGAAGTCATTTAGAGGTGCTTCCCACCAAAAGTAATATCTTAGCTAGTGCCTATCTCTACCATGTGTAATCTAAAATAAAAATTATAAACTATATTATAAAATGAGGAGGTCTCATGAAATTTTGTGATTTTTTTTCATTTTGACCACATTGATGCTGGTTTTGAAATTAAAATAGTAAAAGCTTTCCAGATTGTTTTATTCCTATTTTTGGTAGATTCCACCTTTCTGGTACCCCATACCCATGCCTAGTCTACCTATACTGGGTAAACCTACTCTTCCCGATCTCTTTTCCCAAGCTGGGCTGAGTTTCCTCCTTTGTGTTTCTCTAGCCCACTTGGTTTACCATTTCTACAATTCTGATCAACTGCACATTCACTGGCTCCCCCAACCAACTGGGCATTTTATCACAGCAGGGACAACCCTTCTCTCTTTAAATTCCTAGGGCACAGCTTTGGCTGGGCCCTGATACATGGACTGTAAATGTCTGTTGATGTAAAAATGATTAAATAAAGCCAACCTTCAGAATATGTCATCTTCAGGCCCAAACTGATTCATCAAACACTAACTGAGCACCTGCAGGAGTCTAGGCTGAAGACTGGGGGCTTTCTCAATGCTTCTTTCACTTTAGCTCCCCTTCTTCAAGCTTCTTTCACCATATGCTGCTAGTCTCTATGGTGCATTTGTGGAAATTTGAATAAGTTACACTTTTCTCAGGGCAGAAACATCCCCACTCCAGTACACATGCCTTGGTGAGAAAAACAAGTGTACCCTTGACCTGGCTGTCCTTGCACAGTGAACAATCTTTACAATTGTACATAAAGGTCCTGCTCCTTGCACCAAGTGTCTAAGCCTCATGTGACAATTCTTTATGAATTAGGGATGTGGGAGGGGCAGAACTAGGCTGGAAGTCTGAGATAAGGGTTTGAATAAATGTTCTACTGACTCATTATGTGGCCTTAGGTAAGTCCTTGCCCTGTTCTGGGTCTCAGTTTCTCCATTTAAGGAGCAGTGCAGTAACAATACTTGCCTCTTAGGATTTTGGTTGGGCAAAGCTAGAAGGATGCTGCTTAAACTTCTTAAGGTTTTAATGACTATTTGAGGTTTCCTCATACTTCTCACTTGGGGCCCAAGGGGTCTGGGTGACCAGAGTCTCTTCTCATCACAACCCGTTTTGAGGCTTCTGGGAATATCCTATGTCTAAAACTCACATATTCCCTGTACTATTAGCTAACATGTTTCCAATTTTTAGCTGGCATTATGAATGAGAGTTTCATGTTTTTCATGTGTCTTCCCATATGTTAAGGCACTATGGAAGCTATCTGCAGATAGAAACCACCTCTCTTGCCATTATTTATACTCCTATGTACACCACAGCTCAAAGAGACCAAATACTTATTGATTGAAGAGGTACATGGGTTTGTGAAAAGAGACATGAGAAGGAGACAAAATATATGGTTAGATTCCTAGTTCTACCCCTTGATTTGTGCTGGGAGCTTGGCAAGTGGTTTCAGCTAAGATTCAATTTCCTCTTCTTGAAAATTTATGAACATAAGATCTATTTTGGCTTCCTTTATAGGGGTGCTGAGGGGATTCAATGAACCAAAGAAGGTGAACATGTTTGGAAACTGAAGTGTCATCCATGTGTGAGGAATGCTTTTGAAAAAAAATAACAGCAACAACTACAGAAGGGAAGCATTTGTTCTTAGAAATCAGGGTCTTGATCTGCCCATATTGGTCAGGAAGGGACTATTTTAACACTCTCATGGACATTTTATATATCAAGGAATCACTACCCCAGATACTTAGAGCTTGGAGGATCCTTGAAGACAAATAATCAAATCTAGCTCCCTGATTTTACAGATAGAGAAGCTGAGGCCCAGAGAGGGAGGGCATTTTCCCAGGTCCTAAAGGACATCAAAATAGGGTTAAAGATCCAGTCTTGGATTTTAGGGTTCTGGGTTCTTACCTGTCCAGTTCATCATCCAAGGGTTGGTAGTTGACCTTATAGCATTCAATTCTCTTTAGAAAGTCTTCCAGAACCTTTTCCCTGTCACAGTCTATGTAATCAGGGCTGCCAAGTTTTACTTGCTAGGAAAAGGGAGAACAGAAGAACTGTGAGAGACAGAGACTCTAACAGTGACCTTTGGAAGTGCCCTTAGAGATCATTGAGTACAACATCCCTCATCATAAAGATGAGAAAATTGAGACTTAGACAAAGGGTCTTGCCAAGTTACAAATCAGTCAATTTAAGTGCATTTGGAATGTGTGACTCCTTATGCTTTATTTCTATATGATTAAACAAGGTCTGTTACATTGTACTCAGTTCCAGAGCACACAGTGTTTAAGAAGAACATTTAAAAGAAGATGTGGTGGGGTCTCTGGGTGGCTCAGTTGGTTAAGCGTCTGCCTTCGGCTCAGGTCATGATCTCAGTGTCCTGGGATCGAGCTCCGTATCGGGCTCCCTGCTCAGCAGAGAGCCTGTTTCTCCCTCTCCTTCTGCCTGCAGCTCTGCCTACTTGTGCTCTCTCTCTCTTTCAAATAAAGAAATAAAATCTTTAAAAAAAATAAAAGAAGATGTGGGTTGGCTAATTGAATTTAAATAAAAAAATAAAAGAAGATGCGGTGTGTATATATATACAATGGTGTGTATATATATATATATTACTCAGCCATCAAAAAGAAGAAATCTTACCATTTGCAACAACGTGAATAGAACTAGGGGGTATTATGCTGAATCATAAGAAATAAGAGTAAGAAATAAGTCAATCAGAGAAAGGCAATTATTCTTTTTTTAAAAAAATATTTATTTGAGAGAGAGAGATTGAGAGAGAGGGAGAGAGAGAGAGAGAACGAGTAAGGGGGAGGGGCAGAAGAAGAGGGAGAAGCCAACTCCCCACTAAGCAGGGAGCCCAATGCAGGACTCAGTTCCAGGACTCTGGGATCATGACCTGAGCCAAAGGCAGACGCTTAACCGACTGAACCACCCAGGTGCCCCGATTTCACTCATGTGTGGAATTTAAGAAACAAAACAGAGGATCATAGAGGAAGGCAGGGAAAAATAAAATAATATGAAATCAGAGAGGGAGACAAACCATAAGAGACTCTTAACTATAGGAAACAAACTGATGTTTGCTGGAGGGGAGGTGGATAGGGGGATGGGGTAACTGGGTAATGGGCTTTAAGGAAGGCACTTGATGTAATGAGCAATGGTTGTTATATGCAACTGATGAATCACTGACTCTACCTCTGAAACTAATACTACACTATATGTTAATTAATTGAATTTAAATTAAAAAATTTAAAAATAAAAGAGGACCAGAAATTGTGATGTGAGAAATGGTTGAAGAAGAGGAACAGGAGATTTTGACCAGGGGTCATAATGGCTTACATGTATTGAGTGTTTAATGAGAAACATGGCATGTTGGCTTTAAATTTCTGAAAAGTTGACGTCTCCTAATCCCCCAATGCCTATCTTCTCCACTCACATTTGTCATCTCAATGAATGACGCTATCATCCAATCAGTTACCTGAGTCTAAAAAAAATATGGGAGTCATCCTAGATGCATCTTCATCCCTCACCTCTCAGCAGGCACCAGATCTTCCCCACTCTATTTTCTAAATATCCCTCCTATTGATTTCCATTCTCTCTTGCCTGGACACTTACTCTAGCTTTGTGACTAATTACTCTTGTCTACAGTCTTGTTACTTCTTTTTTTTTTTTTTTTAAACAAAATTCACATTTTATTTAGGTTGAAATAAACTATACAAAATTGATTTTCTTCACCAAAAATAACAGCAATATTTTCTGTATTATTCCTAGATAAACCACAAAACACTTATTTTTGTAGGTTTTCCAGGTTTTGTTTATAAATCAAGACGAGGCAGTAGATAT